TCGACGAGATCCTCTCCAAGGAAACCTGCGATTACTTCGAGAAACTTTCCCTTTACTCCGTTTGTCCGGCTCTCTTGGTCCGCCCCAAACCGCTGCACTCCTGCGCCGGTAAGCCGGGGAGAAGCGCGGGGAGCGGGGAGGGTCGCGCATCCCCGGAGGATGCTCCAGGAGCAAACTTTCCCCCAGACTTGTGGCTTTCCCCCCAGATCTGAGTTTTCCCCCAAAGCCGAGTTTTCACGCCCCATCCCTGAGCGAACAGGGGTGCCTTCGCTCCCTGCGTTTTCCCGGGGAAAGCTTGGGTGGTGGGGTTCAGCCAGAATCCTCCCCGAGCTACTGATGCAAAAGGGAATGACCTTGAAAAGTCCCCTCCAGCCCAACACATTCTTTGATTCTATTCTCTGATGACTTAACAGGAGCGCAGGTCCTGTAGAAAGCGGCCTCGAACCACCGGTGTTTGGGTTTTTTCCCATTGCCATTTCTGAGAGTAGAAAGGAATTAATACTGAAATCCAGAAACGGAGGAAAAATGCCCTCGAGATGCTCTAAATTCTCTCATCCTTTAAACCAAGTTATGCTATTTCTAACAGCAGAGGTATGAAAATACCTCTGATCAGTTTTCTGCACAAGGAAATCCGTGCAAAGGGCTCTCTCCTGGGCAGACAGCGCTGATTTCTGCGCAGCAAACTGAGCGATTGGGCCTTGACCATGGGAATTATTAGATTTCACAAGCACATTGCTGTAATGTTAGCTTTCAAAAATCCACATGAAAAGTAAAAATATTATCCTTATAATGCATTCCAGATTTTTTTTTAAAAAAGAATCTGTTTCTGGTGAAATAGGCGGTTTTCCAGATTTATATTCTTCTCCTAAGGCCAGACTTCCAATGCGGACACCTAATGTCTTAAGAGAATCCAGTGATGAAACTGAAACTTTAGAGTTTTTTGAAGAAGGTACTTTAAATATTTGCAAAAGACTAATTCAGAGTAAAATAATATATAGTTCAAGGTCATAAAATCCTGTTTTCTTTTATCCTGAGAATGTTCGTTTTGTGTTTGCATTAAGTTGTGTTTAAAGATTCAAGACCTGCACTTTGGCTTGTTTTGTTGTGTTTTATTTTATTTTATTTTTATTGCTTAGCTGAATATAAATAAGAAGGAACTTTTCAGATCTTAGTGGAGCTGTGCTAATAGAAATCTTGCTGTTAGGGTGTCCTAAGAGTTTGATGAGTAGAGTAAACCCTTGGTCCAAGCATAAGTCTTCCTCCAACCTCAATATTTATTTTGTAAATACTGGTTATTAAAGATCCAGAAGTGATCAGGAGGCTGGATAACCAGCTTTTGGGAGGGAGTTACGTGAACATTTATTTCTTCTGATGGATTTGTGCATGAACGATCCTCTGACTAATCTCTGACATATTTTTATGCGAGAAGATCTGGTTGTTAATCAAGACTTTGCCGACACGGGCATTTTTCAGCCTAGCTACTGCACGGGCAGTGAAATTCGGGGCTTGGCCAAAATACTCACGAACGTCCCAAATGGGTTCAGTGTGTGGCAGCTCACAGTTCTGCAGAGGGGTCCCAGTTCTGCTCGCGTTGGAGTCAGCGGCGTGACTTCCACAGAAATTATGTCTTTGCAAGACTTCTATATTAAATAATCATTAATAATCCTCCGATGATTCAGCCGCGGATCCTGAGTGATGCCAGCAATTCTACGGGGGTTACAGTTCAATTAAAGCCTTTTTTTTTCCTCTTTGTGCCTGGGATCTTGAAGGAGTTTGCCCTCAAGGTTGCGTTTCTAGCCCAAGCTCTGGCCTGTCCCTGTGTCAGGGCGGATTGTGAATCTCTGCCTGTGGAATAAGTTTTATGGAGGTGCAGTGCTTGAGGAGTGAAGCGCACAGGGAGATTTGCTCACGGGTTTAAAACCGTAAAAGAAATTGCTGCGGAAGCCTGCGCTTCCAAACTGTAAGCCTTCTAAGATTTTATAGGTACAATTAAGTCCTATATGGATTAGATGATGGGATTTATTTTTTTTATTATTATGAAATTCTGTCACCATCTAAGAAACGGACAATACTACAAAAGATAACTAAATATAAAAGAATTAGGAAAATACCCAATACAAAAACAAGACAGAAAAAACCCGCCACAAACTCACAGTAAATAAATAACTAAAGGCTGCAGAAATGCAGAACTATGGCATTGAACTTGCTGCTTGTGTTTTGTCTCTCTAGTTAATCAGGAAGGGAGTGAGCGCTTAGTCTCTTTGCAGTCTAAAAAAAATGAGTCTTATCCTAAATCATAGAAATTTACCTCACCAGGATACTCAGAGCTGGGAGTGTCCAAACCAGTAATGAGTAATTAATTACTTGAGCTGAACTTCTCCTCAGCAGCGCGGCTTTTTCTCGAGTCAGGAGTCGAAGTTTTGCGGGCGTTTTCCCGGGCTAAAGAGTTAATAGTTCTTTCATCTTGGGTGAAGTCACAGAAGTCTGATATGTCTTTATAATTTATTTGGAGCTGAAAGATGGAAGATGTTGTTGTCGTGCTGTATGTGTGTTTAACAACATCCCTTGTTAAGTGATCTGAAAAACACTGGGAACCAAATGGAAAATATTTTTCTTTTGGCTATGAAAGGCTAAATATTTAAGTGTGTGCAGCCGAACTGGGACAAAACAGATGTCATTGGGAAGACTTCCCATTTCGAGAGAGCTCCAACCCAACTTTTTCTTTGGAAAGAAGAACATAATTCCCTGTAAAAAGGATCCATCACTAGTTTAAAATTTGGTGTACAAACACTGACTGTGGCGTTTGTTGAGCCGAGCAAACAAGGCTGTGCTCATACTGAGCCTAGTGCAGGTTCAGAGCCATCGTGATTAAAAAACATAGTAATGTTAAGCCAAAAATCATTTCAGACAGTCATTAATACCTCTTTGATTTATTACTTTTTGGATTGTGATGACTTAGGGAAAGTATTATTAGGTTTGTTTCATGATATTTATATTGACTTTTCATATTATGTCCTATCTAATTAATTTATATAAGTAATGATTACATTATTAATGTATTATTAATGTATACTGTGGTTGGTTTGTTACGGTGGTTTTTGAGGGTTGCTTTTCGGCTGAGCGGAGTCCTACAGGAATCGCTTTTCAAATTGTCTTTATGTGATTTTTTTTAATTTTTAAAATACCTGTAGGTGCCTCTAGACCTATTCCGGTTCAAGACCCATTTTGGTTCTAGACCTATTTTGGTTTGTTTTTTTCAAAATCTTGGTTTAGCGATGCATTTCAAATCCCTTTGTCATCTTTGTAGTTCTGGGCATGATAAAGAGTCAAAGGACATCATGAGTGTGTGATGTTATGAGGTCAAACTGGAACTGCTTCCTAGTTATCGAAGTAACAAAAATCACTGAAAAATAAACGCCAGGGGTTGGGCGGAGGGGAAGTCCCCTGGCTGCAGTGGAATTTGTCACTTTGTGTATTAATAAGCAACAATGTTGGTCTTGCATGTCCTTTCTAAACTATCCAAATGAGTTGAGATGGCTGGATTAAAAAAGAATTGCATTGCCTCTTACAAGAGAGAGCTTTGAGAGCCTTCAGTTTGTTTTAGCAACGTACACAGCGCTTATTGCCTATGCTGTGTCTTCATTTCTACCAACACCTATTCCAGAGCTATTATTTTTACTATTTTTTTCTGAGGATGAGAATTTGTTTGGTTTTTGTGCGATTGAGGTGTTGATGGAGGCAGCTATCCAGTCCAGAATTGCTCAAAACTTGAATTCTTCTTTTCCGATTCTTTTGTCTGCCTTCTGTTGTTTTATCTTAGGATCAAATTGGGGCCTGCTTAACCTAAAGATTTTTTTAGGGTGGCTGTTTTGCTGGTATATTTGATATTTTCTGGATTAAACTAAATGATACCTGCAACCAGCAGGGCCTGTGGGGAATCATTACTTGTGCGAAAAACTTTGGTGCTTTTGGTTCTCGGTCATTCCCTCATCCTGGAGATATTTTAGATGTGTGCCTGTGGTGGCAGGAGCGGGGACGCGATCCCTCACGACGTCTGTTGAAGACCAGTGTCCCAAAATGTATCTGCTGAGGGAAGCAAGTCAAAAAGAATGTGCTTGTTTACATAGCACCAACTTAAATTGTAAAGCATTAAGTGTCTCTGTGTGGAAATCCACGCTGCTGCAAGACTGTTGGGGACTTTTTCTTCATGTTTGTGCCAACGCAAGAAGAAAAAAATTTTTTTTTACAAGCTCCGCATGTTTATTGGGCTTAGCTGACAAAGGTCGGTGTAATTCTGTGGTTTAATAGCAAAAAGCAAAGGCAAAAATTATGAAGGAAATGTATTTGGGAGAAATGCTTGTGGGCTTTGAAAGTGGATTCATCTGGAACTGCTCAAGATTGGGCATAAAATTTAAAATTCAAAAGCCTGGTGTTTTCTGGTATGCCTACCTTAGTTTTTATATGTTTTGATGTCTTTAGTGGAAAATATAGCTCAAAAATGCCAAGAAATGGCATAGGAGGGATAATAAAGGGCTGGCTAATAATAACTATGTCGTTGGAGAAGCGTCTGTCAATTTTCTCCAATATTAGGGTGGTATTTCAGAAGCAAAGCCAGATCAGAATCTGATTTCGAAACCAGGTCTCACTTCGACTGAGCAGGCTCAGAAGGAGTTTCAATGCTAGCTATTAAAAAAATCTGGAATCGAGACTGAATTTTGCTGCCTGTATCTCAGCGCAGTTAATGGTGAATAAAAGAAATTAATGAAAGGCAAAACCGCATGGAACAAAGCAGAAAATCACACCCTAGCGACTGCAATAAAACGTACTATAGAAAGAGAGCCGTGTTGTGGTTGTGGTTAAGCATGAATAAGCATTCCGGAGGACTGCTATAATAGGAGGTATTAATGAATGTGGGATTCCGCTGGGAAAATTGACACCTAGACCTTGTTTTCTAAAGCCTCGCAGCTTGCGCTGAGGCACAGTTTAAATCCACCTGCACTCTGGTTTAGGTTTAAGGGCTTTAGATTTGTAAAAAAAAATTAAAATCTGCAATTTGGCTCTTGGAGACTGCACAGTACAGACCTAGCGCTGCAGCTCTCGCGTTGTTG